TTTACCACCAGTTTACTTTTTTTTCCTCTCTGACCACTGGCCACGGTTTGCCACTCCAGGCCAATGGGGGCTGTGGGAAGCGGCACAGGCCGAGGGATGTGCTGGCTGCCCTTCCTGCAGGCCCCACTGGCCTGGAGCTGCAAACTGCAGCCAGTGGGAGCCGCAATCGGCCAAACCTGAGGACATGGCAAGTAAACAAACTGGCCCGGTCGGCCAGGGGCTTTCCCTGAACAAGCTTCAGCTCTAGTTTGAGAGCCACTGAATTAGGGTGTGATTCCCCGATTGTGTATACGTACTCAGGCTAATTCTCATCAAGCTAGCACAAGCATAAACAGCAGTGTAGCCATGGTAATAGGAGTAATGACAGCAGAGGCATAGCTGAGTTGTGCTGAGTACATACCCAACGGTTTCAGGCAGGTTTGTACTCGGCACAGCTCAGCCATGCTTCTGCTACTGCAACCAGTGCTACTGTGGCTACACTGCCATTTATACTCACGCTAGCATAATGAGAGCTAATGCAAGTATGTGTACATGGGGAGAGGAATCACAACTAGCTTGTAGTGTAGACATAGCCTCATTTCTTAAAGTACAGCACTTGTGTTGCAACCATAATAGAACGTTATTTTTTAAAGTATGGTAGTCACTAAACTTTTTTAAAAAAAAGTCAGGCTCTGTAAAACCCTTTTAAACAAAATCAAAATGATGACTGATAGAACAGCTTTAGATACATTAACAACAAACTGTTTGCTACATATGGAAGAAATGTAAGATGTTTTTGCTTTATTTACAAAATTGTTATAATAAGGCCATCTAACAGTACTAAATAATTTTTATTGTCTTTGCTAAAAAAGTGACCTTTTAAATGCTAATTACGAATTGGAAATTTTTCATTTTTCATCTTATATATTCATTGAAAACCACTAGTAGCGCTCACATTTTCTAACTTTAAGAAAACCCCCCAACTCATGTTGAAACATAAGCTATCCATTCTTAGGTCTTTGTTTCTGTATGGAACATGCCTTATGTTTTAAGAGCACAATACAAGGATCGTGCTCTGAAGGTCAGCACACCTGGGTTCTATCCAACCAACAAGGTAATAAATACCAGAGTGGAGAGAGTGCCACTGAGAACTTCAGACACAGCCTGATGTTCAACTTTTATCAGCTGCTGAGTGCCTCCACTAACCTTAAAAAGTCAGGTTTCAGATAAGCTATTACCAGCAGGACAGTGGGGTGGGAGGAGGTATTGTTTTATGATCTCTGTGTGTATATAAAGTCTGCTGCAGTTTCCACGGTATGCATCCGATGAAGTGAGCTGTAGCTCACGAAAGCTCATGCTCAAATAAATTGGTTAGTCTCTAAGGTGCCACAAGTACTCCTTTTCTTTTTTCTTAAAAAGTCACAGACTATTTGATTTAAAAAACAAAAACAAAAAAAAACTAAACACAGATGACAGCCCCAAACATTACTACAACTAAAAATATTAAAGTATTCCCCCCCCCCTTCCCCTCACCCTGTGCACTGAAGTTCTTTCATTGCTTCTTTATAAACAGGTTTCACACAGCACCAGGGGAGAGTGTCATTTTAATAAGCAACTACATCTTCCAGTAAGACAACAAAAGTTAGCAAGGGGTTATGGTGTAGTCATGGAAGTTTTCATGGCAATCAGGTCATTCATTTGTGACTGACCCCTACCCTTTCTGGATGGAGTAAAGGATATCTAAGCAGGGTGGATAAAAAGCAATGTTTTAAATTTTTCATGTTGACCTGGCTGACACAGTTGATTCAATTTTTGTTTTTTAAATATTTCATTTAACTATTTTAGTTAAACTATTTTAACAAAAACAAACCTGATTTTAAGAAACTTGAATGTTTAACTAAATTCAAAAATTCATATGCTTGTTTTGCTAAAATATGTTTGCTGTTGAAGAAAAAAAATCCAGAATACATAACGTTGTTGTTTTAGTTAAATAAAACAATTTCAATGTTTGTCTGGTGATATTCTCCTCCTAATACAGCATGGCAAGAAAATCCTCCAAATATTAATGATTAACCTGTTGAATTGGAGATATTTATGAAGTCATTGGGAGGTGAACTATCTGCTTCAATTACCTTCAGTAAATGAAATAGCCAAACAATCATTCATTTTTTGATATAGCTGTAAAACTAATCTGAAAAGTTTTCAAAATAAATCACTTTAAAAATGTATCGTGCGTACCTTCTAAAAATGAAACCTACATTTATCTGAGTTGTGAAGAATATGTATTATGTTATAACAACCACCAAGAATGCACTTTTGTGTAGAAATCCATGATTAAATAGTCTTCCTGACTAAAACAAAACCAAGGAGTCCTTGTGGCACCAAGCCCACGAAAGCTTATGCCCAAATAAATTTGTTAGTTTCTCAGGCGCCACAAGGACTCCTCGTTGTTTTTGCTGATACAGATTAACACAGCCACCACTCTGTCTTCCTGACTAGTGATTTAAATCAATTCGATTTAAATCAAATCCACCCTCTATATAAGACCACACTTACAGATTTTAAAACTTCCTTTGATGAAGCAAATGTTTCACCTATTCTCAAACATGCAATATTTGACTTATGCTAAAGAAACCTTCAGTCATGAACTATCCTCCAGCATACAACATCCCTTTTCTAAACAAGAAAATTTAGAAGCTGGGGAAAAAACAGTTTCAAACACTAGCTGTCAGCATCCTGAACCTGTCAGGCTTCAAAGCAGGGCATACAACAGACACAGCACTTGTTGCACTGGTGGAGGACTTCTTGTGTCCATATTCAAAGGAAGCACATTCATACTCGTCATGTTTGACATCTTTGGGCCACTTCATATGGTTGATCACCAGATACTTCTGCTTGACTCCAAAAACTTACAGGGGTTGGGGATAGACCAGAAATTCCCTGAAATGGCTCAAGTCTTTCCTTTCAGAGTTAAATCTGAAGAATTGCCAATAGCAACTTCTCCTCCACAGTGTTTGATTTTATATGAAGCCTTTGGATGAGCTAAGGCGACAATGCAGGCTGAAGTGCCAACAGTATGCTGACTATGCTCAAGTTGACATCTCATTTACATCAAACTTAAAAACAGCATCTCCTTCCAGTTCTCTCAATGCTTAGACCAAGTCAGTCTCCAGATGAAGAGCAGCTGGCTAAACATGAACCCAGGCTAAACCAATTTGATGCTGATTGGTTCTGAAATACTTCTTTCTTCCTATCTCTTCAATAAATACTCCCATTATCAAAGGTCCTTGATTATTAAGTTGGTCCACAGCATGGGGTCCTTTGAACGGCTCCATGCATTTGGATACCCAAATAGCTAGAGCAGCAAAAAATACTAACTTTCATCTGTGACTGGCCAGAAGATTGTGCCTTGTCTTTTTGAGACCAGCATTCATGACTTCCAGCCTTGGTTACTGTAAATTATACCTACGAATGAAGCCAAATGCTAAATCTGACTGGTACAAAAATGCAGTAGCCTGTCTGCCTAGCTAGGAATACATCACCTGGCTCCAGTCCCAAGACTTGCTCTCTATCTCCAGTTAAAAGTCCAGTCTGGATATTCAAAGCCCTCCAGGAGTCTGACCCTCTTTACCCAAGGGATTGTTTCTCCCTCCACAACCTCCCTCAATAAAACCTTGTCTAAATTTAGACGTTTTCACACTTTAATTATTATGGCATAGTTAAAGTGGCAACTCCCACCCCCAGCGTAGATGCATTTATACCAGTGGTAGTACTTCCACCTTATCACAGTTTGGTGAAACAAACCAAGCTACACTAGTATAAAATACTTTACATTGGTTTAAATGTCTATGCTAGGGCGCTGACTGGCAAAACTATGTTGGTAAAAACACCCAGCTTACCACCATAGTTCTCCAAGTAAAAAATTATGTCAAGATCAAGCTTAGCATAACACTGAAAGCAAACAAGCCACAAGGAGTACTTGTGGCACCACGGAGACTAACAAATTTATTTGAGCATAAGCTTCCGTGAGCTACAGCTCACTTCATCGGATGCATTCAGTGGAGCCACAAGTAGAGACTCATTCTTGGAGAGAGAGCAGGAGAACAGAGAAATACTGGCATTGTTATTCCTATTTGGGTATACTTGACAGATGCAACAGCATGGGACTGTGTAAATATCGTAGCACTAGGCAGATACAATTTGAACTACCTGCAATTCATTTTTAAAGACACACTAGATCCGAATTCGCTGCTGTCCCCCTACCCACGGTAAAGCGGCGCAGCCAGCAGGGAGAGGAGCCACAGGCAGCGGGCGGGTAAGCGGTGCAGAGCACAGCGCTGGCGCGGGGGAGGCCGCGCGGCTAGTGCTGCCGTGCGGGGTCCCCGGGAGTGGAGATGCGGCACGGAGCTACACCGGGCGCTGGGTCTGCGACACCCCGGGCCAGGCCCGGTGCTGCCTGGCTCTGGGGTGTGGGTCCCCAGCAAGGGCTGTGAGGGGACCCATAGGCGCCCCCTCCCGCCCAGCGAAGCCGAACCTGCGCTGGAGGGGAGCCGCGCAGCCCGGAGCCTCACACTGCCCTCGAGCAGAGTCCAGCAGCGGCCGATAGCTCCTCAGAGCCTGGACCCCGGGGACTCGCAGGGAGGCAGCGGGCTCCAAACCCTCCGGCCTGAGGAGTCAGAGGACCCGGGCAGGGAGCGGCTAGCGGCGGGGGCAGGGGGTCCCGCTACCTTCTCCACTCGGCCCACGAAGCAAACCGGCTGCCCGAGGTGCTGCGCTAAGTGGCTGGTGGCGATGCGGGGCCGCGGCCCCTCGTGCACGTCCCCCATGTGGAGCGGTCCCGAGGCCCGCGCCGCGCTCTGCCCCACCGGCCACAGCTCCCCTGGAGCGGCGGGAAACCAGCACTTCCGCTCTCCGAGCCCGGCAATCGCCCTGGCAACAGGGGCGACATCGGGGCGGGGCTTCCTCTCAAGCCGCCAATCGAACGGGACAAAATCCGGTACCGACGCCCTGGTGACGTAGGCAAACGGCGCTTCTCACTGCGTACGAATCGGAGGGCGCTTGTGGCCTTTTTGTCGGGTGTGAGGGTCAGGTGGGGGCTGCTCGGAGATTGAACCCGGAAGCGAAGGCGCCTGTGGTAGCGTCAGGCGGTGCCGTGGTTCGGTTCGGGAGCGCGTCTGAGGCGGGAACGCGGTGAGTGAGCGGAGTGGGGCTGGGGGGGTCGCCCCTGCCCCTGCCCCTGCCCCTGCCCCTGCCCCGCCCCCTGGAGTGCTGAGTGCGCAGAGGTGCTAGGGAGTGACTGGTCTCGTCTCCTCCTGCTCCATCCTGGCTAATAGCCATTGATGCATCTATCCTCCATGAATTCATCTAGTGTTTGTTTGTTTTTTTAACCTTGTTATAGTCTTGACCTCCACAACACCCTCTGGCAAGGAGTTCCACATGTTGACTGAGTGTTGTGTTGAAAAAATACTTCCTTTAGTTTGTTTTAAACCTGCTGCCTATTGATTTCATTTGGTGCCCCCTAGTTCTTGTGTTATGAGGAGGAGTAAATTACACTTCCTTATTTACTTTCTCCACACCTGTCATGATTTTATAGACCTTTATCATATCATATCCCCCCCCTTAGTTGTTTCTTTTCCAAGCTGAAAATCCCAGTTTCTGTAATCTCTTTTCATATGGAAGCTGTTCCATACACCTAATCATTTTCGTTGCTCTTCTGTACCTTTTCCGACTCCAATATATCTTTTATGAGATGGGGTGACTAGAACTGCACGCAGTATTCAAGATGTGAAGATACCATGGATTTGTATAGAGGCAGTGTGATATTTTCTGTCTTATTATCTATCCCTTTCTTAATTATTCCCAGCATTCTCTTTGCTTTTTTGACTGGTGCTGCACATTGAGTGGATGTTTTCACTTGAAATTATTTCAGTATAACTTAAGTCGCTCGGAGGTGTGAATAAGACCCCCTCCAAGCCATGTAAGTTATACCAACCTAAGCGCTGGTGTAGACAGTGCCATGTTGATGGGAGAGCTTCTCTCTCCAACCTAGCTCCTGCCACTTATGGGGGCTGGAGTTAAGGTCTTGTCTACAGTACTGCGGTAAGTCAACCTAAGTTACGCTACTGCACCTTAGGTTGACTGACTGTGGTGTCTACACTGTGCTGCATTTCCCATCAACTTATCTTACTCCTCTCGTTTGGGCAGAGTTGACCGGAGAGTGCTCTGCGGTGATTTAGTGGGTCTTCACTAGACCCGCTAAATCAATCCCTGCTGCACAGATTGCTACAGTGTTGATCCCTGGTAAGTGTAGACATGCCTTAAATCAGCGGTTCTCAAACTGTGGGTTGGGACCCAGTTTTAATGTGGTTGCCAGGGCTGGCTTAGACTTGCTGGGACCTGAGGGCTTCAGCCCTGGGTGGTGTGGCTCAGGTTAAAGGCCCTCTGCCTGGGGCTGAAGCCCTTGGGCTTCAGCTTTGAGCCTCGTGCCTGGGGTGGTGGGGTCAGGCTTTGGCCCACACATCTAGGGTGGTGGGATTTGGGTGGGCTCAGGCTTCAGCCCCCCCTCCTGGGGTCATATAGTACATTTGTTATAAGGGGGTCATGGTGCAATGAAGTTTGAGAACCCCTGGACATCGCTGCAGCTGTGTCGATGTAGCACTTCTAGTGTAGATGTAGCCTTTATATCCAGCCAGAAGGAAGCCTTTGAACCTAGGGTTCATATGGTGCTTACCAGACATTTGCGGTTTCTTTGCCAGAGCCCCCTGTTGGGCAGGGCTCTTACTGTTTTTCCTTCACAGCGGTGCAGTAAATTTGACTCCAGTGGTGTAATGTCACAAGGGGGTGAAAGTTCAGGCACCTAAACAAGTGTGGCCTGAGCGCCCAAGGCACCAAAGCTCCCACTGTTGAGAGCGCTTTCTGTCTGGAGTGTAGTGCCTCACCTGGATTTGGAAGTGTGAATTGATAAAGGCTGTTGGTGGATAAGACAGAAGGTGGAATTAGATCTTCAGAGACAAACTTTACTCCCTACTGATGGAGATAAGTTGGTTCATTCTTTGAAGATATTATTTTAAAGGATAAGGGCTAACCACTTTAAAAACATAAACTGCTTTTTTCTTTTACATTTTGAGGTTTTCTAATTTAAGAGGGGAAATCAATGGTCAGTATGGACCTGCAAAGGCCAGCTCTGTGAGCTGCTCCCCATACTGTACTCTAAAAGTGGCTTTCTACAGTGCTTGGGTCTCTTTTACCCAAGGAGTGTGGCTGCTATTCTCAGAGTCTGTGGGTGCAATTGGCTTTTCCTGCTGTCTCACCCATTGGGGACACCCAGTGCCAGGTCTCTTTTCCCCTTCATTGCCCAGTGTGCAAAATTGGGCCTGCCCCTTCACCTTGACTGACTTTCCTCCCACTGTAGTCAACCTTCCACCATCACTGAAGTTGTCCTTGTAGTTGCTAAGGATCCTTGTTCCATGTTAATTCACGCAGGGCATCAGGTTGTAGGGGTATCAAAGTGGAGACTTAGCATCCCTCGTGGCTTGCCTCCTTTGTCGCCACAGCTTCCCTAGCCCCCAAAGCACTGCAGTCCAGTGGCCAGAATCTGTGCAGTCTCCCTTTGGTGCAGGGCGGCACGGCCAAGTGGTTAATGTCAGTACAGCAGTGCTACTGCATAGTTTGCCCCTCCGGGCATCAGGGCCCTAGGGAACTGGTGCTTTCACAATCAGTCTCAGTCACCCGGTACCTCAGTCCTGCTCCCTGGGTCACTTCCTACCTTTCTTTCTAAGGCTGGGAGTCTCGTAACCTCCACTGTCTCTCCTCCGTCGTTGTTGGCAGTCAGCTGGGGTGGTCTGTTGGAGCCTCAGCGCAGCTGGCTTCTGGGTCCTGGAGCTCTAGCAGTCTCCTTCTAAAAGCTTGCAACACACATCTGCTTTTGTTGGAGCTGGAGCATGTCCAGCAGGGGCGAGGGGATGTGGCTTCCTTGGCTGACAGAGCATGGTTAACCCCTTCGGAACCACTGTGGGTTAGGCACACCCCGTCACCGTATTCTTGTTGTTCTTAGTGTACTTGGACTTTCAGAAAGCCTTTGACAAGGACCTTCACCAAAGACTCTTATCCTATGACTACTTACTTTGGTTAAGAGGGAAGGTTCTTTCATGGATCAGTAACTGGTTAAAAGACAGGAAACAAAACATAGGAATAAGTGGTCAGTTTGCTGAATGGAGAGAAGTAAATAGCTGGGGTCTCCCAAAGATCTTTACTGGGGCCAGTGCTGTTCAACATATTCATAAATTATCTGAAAAACAGGGGTAAACAGTGAGGTGGCAGAGGTTTCAGACAATACAGAATTACTGAAGATAGTTAATTCCAAAGCAGACCGCAAAGCGTTACTCACCAAACTGGGTGACTGGGCAACAAAATGGCCGATGAAATTCAGCGTTGATAAATGCAGAGTAATGCACACTGGAAAACATAATCCCAACTATACATACAAAATATGGGATCTAAATTAGCTATTACCGCTCAAGAAAGAGATCTTGGAATCATTGTTCTCTGAAAACATCTGCTCAGTGTGGACCGGCAATCAAAAAAGCTAATTGAATGTTAGGAGCCATTAAGAAGAGGGTAGATAACAACAAGGCAGTAAATACCATAATGCTACTATATAAATCCATAGTACACCCACATCTTGAATATTGCATGCAAAAGTTCTTGTTGTCTCATTTAAAAAAAAAATATAGTGAATGGCAACAAAAATGATTAGGGGGTATGATCCGCTTCCATATGAGGAGAGATTTAAAAAGACTGGGACTGTTCAGCTTGGAAGAGATAATTATTGGGGGATTTGGTACCCTATATAAAATCATGAATGGTGTGGAGAAAGGGAATGAGGAAGTGTTATTTACCCTTTCACATAACACAAGAATCAGGAGTCGCTCACTGAAATGAACAGGCAGGAGGTTTAAATCAAACTTCAGGAAGTACTTCTTCACACAAGGCATAGTCAACCTGTGCAACTTGTTGCTAGGGAATGTTGTGAAGACCAAAAGTATAACTGGGTTCAAGAAATATTTCAGTTCATAGAGGATGGCATGTCAATGGCTATTAGCCAAGATGGTCAGGGATTCAATAGATATGTAAAATATTAAATGGTTAAACAGTAAGCATTAGTCTTACCAGTTAATCCACCTCAACCACTAACCCCCCGCCCTGGGCAGGCCAGCCGGAGTGGCCCCAGCCACTTACCTATAAACCTATATATATATCTATATACTTGCCTATAGTTTACAATTCAAGGTGATACTTTACCATGCTGGCAGCAGTATTCCAGAAAGTGAATGATTATGCTTTATGTAAAATGTTTCATGATCTGTATTATGGTTACATCTAATAATTCAGAAATAACCGAAAACAATGATTTGGGCTGACAAAATGAGAGAGATGGAGGCCTTTAGTTGAATTCTGCTGCTCTGATCACCTGGTTAAAAACCATCTTCACCCAACATCTTAGATATTTATGTGCATGGCAGTCACCTGACAGTGTGACAGAGAATCAAATCGACTCTGTAATGATACAGTAACTCTGGAGATACAGTACAAGTGTACAAAGACTTTACTGAGTGCAGATTGAGGCATGCAGATTGAGGCTAGCAGCTGATGATCTGACCCACAAACACAAAAAACTAAAACTTAAAAAGATGTGGCATTTGACAGGTCCACTGCCTTTAGATTTGTCCAGAATCAACTACAATTATATAACTTCTGTTGAGAATGCGTTTGAGGCATTGGCACAGTGAAAGAAGAGAACAACCTCAACGAATTTTGGAATAAAATGAAAACTTATGCTTGAAACCACCAGAGTACATGTTCTGAAAAGTCAGTGTTGGACCACACACCATGGTTAACTGAAAAGATGTTTGACCTGGCAGGAAGACAGTGCAGAGGGAAAGAGAATGGTTTGAAGATGGAAGAACGTAGGAGAGGCTATAAGAAACTGATCAGACAGATTCAAAGGCAGACTGGATGAGATGAGTGAATATATAAGGGCAAAGTGGATGACCCTTGAGAACTGTAAAGAGAGTAATCATAAAAAAAGTTATGCTCACAGTGGTAAGAGTTTTTGCTAAAAGGTTTTCCCTGCAAGCAAACATAATAAAAGATCTTGAGTCCTCACTGAGAATGATGTTGAACGGAGCTGGAGAAATTAACACTCTAATCAGTAAGCTTCAGAAAAGCCACTCATAATAGAGTACAACAGAAGAGAGTACAAAGCTGGAGTCATCAAACCTGTGAGAGTGGTGCTTGCTATCATGAAAATGAAGCTTGGAAAGCACCAGGGACAGCACACAGTGCACACCAGGGACGTGCACACAGTATTGTTAAGTGATTGAGGAACACCAATACTGATCTTGTGTGGAAAATTTGTAATTATGGATGACTAGAAATTGGCCAGAGGACTGGGTGGAGGGAATTTTTCTGCCATTTCCAACACAGGGAGATGTAAGAGTACAATAGTTGAGTGACTATCCCCATGATGCACATGAGCAAAGTTCTGCTCTTCTTAATCCAGGATCGCATTAAACGAAAGCAGAACTAAGGCACACATGACAGATCATGAATATCTGTCATATCACCTAAAAATGTAGAGTACAGTCAGCCATTGATCCTTTGTTTCATTGACTAATCAAAAGCATTTGATACCATTCAACATGACTATCTTTGTAGGATTCTGGCTGGCAAGGATTCCAAGGCATTCTATTGAATTCACTGCAGTCTCTGCCAACAGACCAGAATGTGAATAGTAGGTGACAGTAAGTGGTTTTCCATTGCTGCACGATGTGTGAGACAAATTTTGGCCCAAGCCTCTTTAACCTATATGCAGAATTTATTCTGAGACAAGCCTTGGGAAGTTTTGACAAAGTGGAAGGAGCTGGGATTTCCATTGGTGAACATCACTTAACCAAGCTCAGATATGCTGACAACACAATACTCTTTGCTACAACCCCTGATGCAATGCAACAAATGTTGGGATCTGTAAAAACCAGTTAGTGAGGAATATGGACTATTCCCAACTGAGTACAACTGGACTGAAACAAAATAGTTGTGTCAATGTACATGCAACAAAAAGAGGACTCAAGTTGAAATCATGATTAATGGACCAGTTGTAGATGAATTTAGTTATCTGGGATCATATATAGCCAAACAAGGCAGCTGTTCCAAAGAAATTGGAAGAAGGGTAGGGTGGTTTGCTCAGCCATGGCCTCATTTGTGGAAAAACCTTGGCATCTTAAAATACAAAGGTACAACTGGTGAAATACCTAATATTTTTTCCATAGAGATTTATGAATGTGTATGGTGGGAAGTTGATGTTACTGACAAGAAGAAAATTGAAGCATTTGAAATGTGGTGCTGATGAAGACTTGCGTATCTCCTGATGGAAGAAAAGACAAATGCCTGTGTTAGAAATATTATTGGAGAGAAGCAGACCATTTATGTTGGAAATCGACTGATGCAAACTTATTTACTCTGGTCACATTAGGCATAGACATGGAAATAGCCTTGAGAAAATTATGTAAAGAAATGATGGAGGGTCTTCATAATGCAGGATAATCAGTGAGGAGATGGATGATGTGTGGCAGATCACTAGGAAGATCAGCTGTTGAATGTTCAAAGTTAACAATGGATTGTGAAAGCTTTAGAAAATTCTGCTATATCACCAATATTCAAACATGAATACATATATTTGGTTAATAATTCAATAACAGCAGAATTAGGCAGTTCATATATGGTGAATAACTATCACTTGTTCAATAAATCATCTAGGAAACTAGCCAGAGCTTACAGACTTTGCTAATGCTACTGAAAAATGTTGCAGAAGTTGGAAAGAACACCTAAAAATAATTAACTCAGTATTTCCTTCAAACACTTGTTTTGGTAGTCCCCTCCAACTAAACTTTCACTTGTTCCACCACTGTATGTTCTTTTCCAAAGATGTTCTCAAATTTAACTTTATCTAAAGAAATAGAATGAAAACCTATATACATGGGATTAGAGGAAAAAGAACCTAATCAATCCAACTTCTTTACAGACTGTTTGTTTTATTGTAAGTTTGAAAAATGGCGATACTGTATTCAATGGAAAGTAGAGCAATTTAGGCAGAAAGGAAAAGCAAAGTAGATAATGCAACACCTTTTCAGTGGACCACAAAATAACTTGAACATGTACATAAAAGCTTTTGGGGTCCCAAATATGTCTTGCATGTCAAGGGACTATGCTTTAATAGTTTTGCACACAACTTCTTACAATAAATGGAGAATTGAAGCCACATGTTAATAAACTCTTAATTTTGTTTTTTTCCATAAAATTAAGAAAATATACTAAAGGGGAAATCTGTTTAGATTTACTATTGTAACTGTTGAAGACATACTAGATGGTGATTCACAGCCACTGAACTTAATTGCCCAGCTATATTGGAAGAAGCTCAGGAGACACCTGGATGTGGTTTAATTACGCTGCAATTTTTATTAGCTGTTTGCATAAAGTGTGGTGCAGTCATTTTGCAAAGGCTGGTGGAACTTGCAGTCTCTTGCTTTCCATTACATAGTGTCCTTCTATAATAAATGCACCAAAATTGCTGCTTATCATGGGTGGTGGGGGAGTTCATAGTTTTATTGGAATCCCACCTTCCAGGAGGGGAAAAAAACACATTTTTATTGGATTCCTACTTCTGAACATGGAATAAATTATACATATAACTTGATTTCAACGGTTCTGTGCTGTAAGTGTGTGCTGTTTTAGTCATGTAGACAGCATTTGAATTGATACTGTATATATATTTTTTGTTTTGTTAGCTGGTAGCTTGATTAAAAATGAAATCAAGAAAAACAGATTGCATCTACGCTGCTTTTCACAAAAGATGCGAGAGAACATTTTAAATATTTTGACGGCAGAAAAGGTCACTTTTTTCTTCTTCTTCTTTTATCAAAGAAATCTCCTAAACCAGGCTGTTCCTCAGAATAAAGTAAATTGGAATGATAAGGAGAGAGAGCTTGTGGACATTGTTCAAATGAATGTCATCCTGAGATGACTTCTAGTTTGGGTTGAAAACTTTGGAAAAGTGAGGGTTTTTTTTTTCCCCTCATGAACCTTTTGTTCTGTGTCATGAAATCATTTTTGATAGTGTTTTCATAGCACATTAAGCTTCAGGCAATGTATTAGTTAGATAAAAGTTGATGAGATGACCACAGGGTACATTATAATGAATAGAGATGTGAAGAGCTGTCCAGGATTCAGTTCTGTATATGAATATAGTGGCTATTCAAAATTGCTGAGATTGTACTGGTTGGAAATTGCAAAGCTTGGATGGTAATTTGGGTATCACCTGTTGCTGTGCAAATCATTTATTCCACTACTAGCATGTCTAACTGGCTTGTTTTAAATGGGACAAACTGGCCAAGAATGGTTAGTCTATATGTTTTCTTTTGGTGAGACAATAACCATGCTAGGCTTGCCTGCTTAGTTTCTTAGCAAAATGTACACTAGCCTAACTAAGAATTACCAGTCATCTGCTATTCACCATATTTGAAAATTATATTTAGAAGCTGCTGGAAAAGGTACACCAGTACTTTACTATTCTCTAGGAATATAAGCTCTGAAAAACTGAAACTTTGTATTGTGAATACCTAGTGTATGTTTTCAAAAATTCATAACTTGGGGCCCAGTTGTGCAAACACGTGTAACGTTCATGACGGTAATTCAGTTGACTTCAATAGAGATATCTGTGCGAATGAAGTAATATGTGTAAGTTTCTATGGGATTGGGCCATTGGTTAACTTGCAGCAAAATTTGTTCCAACTTGGTGACAAGTATACTTAGTGAGGATTAAATACCTACTGTATTTCAAATTTCAAAGTTCAGCTAGTTTTGGATTAACTCTGTCTGGGTCTGGTGAGTTAGGGAGGGCATAGCAATTTTTCATTGGCAAAATGGGCGTGAGAGAATGTGAAAACGTACACCAAAAACAGCCAAAGGGATTTCCTTCAACTTTATGAAGGAAAAGTAGAACATGGAGAACCAAACATGGAAACTTGCAGAAAAATTGTCTGTTTGGACTGAGAGTTATTAGTGAGGGAAGGTGAATAATTTTGTACCTCTATCTGTAGTGTTGACTTTCTCAACAAAGTATGTCAATCCATTTGACACAAGGAAATCTGATTTTTTAAATCTAGAGATACATTTTCAGAGTTAATATATATAATGTACTATCTTTTTGGTAATTTTTCTAAGCTAAATTGTATTGCTTCATACTTATTTAACAATGTTTTCCTGTTAAAGAGAGGCTTGGAGAAAAGAAGATATGTTCAACTTTTTCCGAAAAAGCCAGGACTCTAAGAAGGTGCCATTACCAGAAATAGAAGCAGATGGATTTGTTCTTGTGGGTAAGTGATACTATAAAATAGTATTACATTAAAGTGTTTTAACAATATTACTTCTGTCAATTTGGTAAGTTAATTTTTACATGAGAACAGAATGAGGAACAGAAATTGGTCCATGATGGATATGAAATAAGTCAAAACACTGAACATATGCACACAATTCTGTTTCTTTAAACAAGCTTGTAGTTGTTGCTTTCATTTCATATATCGTGATAAAGAGAAACATGGGTACTTTAAGCTAAATACTAAAGCTCTTAGCTGGTTGTCCGATGAAAGAGGAAAAATAAGAACACTCTGTTGCTGAAAAACATGAATAACTTCAACACCTTCTTTGCCGATCAAAAGGGAGAACTACTCTTCTTAAGCACTTATTTGTTATAAACTCAGTTGCTACCAAAGTTTTCCAGATATTAACTCGGAAATGCCTGCATGTTACATATGTTATTTACAGTCACATATGAAATGTAGGTCTTCTCTCTCAGAATCTGGCACTTGAGTACTTCGGTGAAAATTTAAGCAGTTAGTAATGATTTAGTTTCCTAAAATGTCAGTTGTTATAAATGAGACTTTTCCAGAAATAAAATGGAATTCTACTCATTTTAATCTATGAATTTGTCAAACTTTTTTTTTTTTTAATCAAGTCTTTCATGGTCGTGTAAGAGGGATGAAATGTGAAGAAAATCAAGATTTTTATTACCCTTGTATTGCAAATGATTTTTTATTTCTTATTGCAAGTAATTCCATCCTCGTGTAAATCTGTCATTATAAATATTCTGATGCCCTCATTATCCTGATTTACTGATTTGTTCTTGCCAGAGGTCTTCCACCTCTCTATTTGAGGCTGACTTTTTTCCTACTAATTCTCAGTATTTGTTACTGTGGATGTATTTAAGAGTTTCTTCCATTTGTGCTGATGCTAACCTTTTCAGAGAGGTTCACTGTGGAGGTAATGGGTCTTATCACTGGAACAATTAGGAAATTTCATAACAGAAGAAATTTTTTAACAGAAGTGTTAAGTAGTAGCTTCCAGAACAACTGTTTTCCTGCATACCAATAGGTGCCCCAACTACTTACAAGTTATTAGGGCAGGTCTGATTTCAAGGATTTAATTTTTACTTTTGTAATGTTCTGTTTAACAGTTGCCTCTCAGTAAGCTTACTTGATCTGCTACAGCCCTGTATCCACGAACTCCAGTTTTGGTAGCTAAATCTATTAACTCTGGCACCTGCATTTTAAAAAAAAAAATCTCTTCAAAAGCTTGTGAAAAGCACTTCAGAAGTAATGACTATATCATTTGAGGCAGTCCCAGAGCCAATGCTGGAATGCCAGGCTTGAAGAGTTGTAGGCAGAAGTGTCTTGCGTATCACACAAATCCTGGTGGTGACTGTAATTTTTGTTTTGTTTTGTTTTAAACTAACACAGTTGTTAACCTTGCAAATTAGTTCAAAATAGATTGCCATATAATTATTCCTTTCCCTTGTAAAGGAATGTCCAGTAGTGCTGACAGTGGAAGGTATCATTCCCTTATAGACAGAAGCAGTTACAAAACTCTCAAATTCAGGGGAATGTGTCTCAGGAAGGACTGCCTTCTTTAGGAAGTCTTAGCAGTGCTGTCTCCATTTATCCCAGAGCAGCAGCAGTTTAAAAAACTTTAGCTACCTCTGTGGTTTTAATTTGGTGGGGTTTTTTTCTTAATTTTTTTTTTTCCAGATTTGATAGTAAAGTACTTCAGAGTTTACAGAACCTTAACACCTGGTGTCTTTTTTTATTATTATTATTATTATTATTATTATTTTATTGTTTATCAGTGCAGTCTGGATTTTAATGAAGGTATACAAGTGTAAATAACTCAAGAAATGGAGTCTCTTTCCAACTCCTTAGCCAATGGAGGAAGGATAGTTCTTTCAGTACTGGGGGAAAAGGAGGAAGAGCCCCAGGGCAAATATGATACTGTGGTCAGGAGGGTTTCTGTCGCCATAAGTCTTCAGCTAAATTCTGTATATGGTGAAAATTCAGTCATCCTCATACAGTACTTCTGAATGGGGCTTTATAAGGAAAGGGTGATCCCAGGACACAAATTTATAGAGGAAATTATTAATTCTTCTTTGTGCTAAGGTCCACAGATCTGTTGCAACAGATACTTAGTCTGTTTGCGAGTTGGAGACAGAAACAGACTTGTCAGTTGCTGGCTGCAAGGGAATGCCCCACCTTCTGAAGTTCCCCTCCTGTGGCGAGTGGCTCACCCAGTCTTCTCGGTTGCATAGCTTTTCTGAGGGAAATTCCAAACTTGATTTCAAATTTTTAGACTAACGCTTTGGCTCTGTCTCTGTCTCTAATTCTGTTCTGAATCTCAGAGCTGAGTTTGGCTCTCATCTGCAGGGCTTTTGCTGAGGTTCAATTGCCCTGATAAGGGATTTTTACAGAAGATGAAGAGTGCCCCAGAAGAAATAGGTGAGTGTAGGTTTCTAGTCGGTGCTACAAAGGAATGAGTGCCAACCTAGCATAAGCTTTCATCATGCTGATTGGGCTCAGGGAAAACCAGTTATTGGGAATCACCAAATAAACCCCACCCCCTTCCCTTATTCCTGTTCCTATTCCTCCTCCTCCTCTCCTGTCCTCTCCTCTCACCATGCTTTCCTAAAGGCCAAACAAAGTTTAAAAAAAAATTGTGGGAGAATGTATACACATGGATATAATTAGACTTCTTGTTGGGTAGTAATTGAGAGTTTCCATCTCTCAGTTTTGCCCATTAGATTACCTCTCTAGAGGTAAGCACCTTCCACAGGTAGTTGTGGATGTGAGATTTGTTAGCTAGCAAGTTAAAGAAGTCCTCAACACTCCTTCCCGTGAGGCCCATTGCTGTATGCATCACAAAAACACAATTGGCTTGTGGCTATCTCTGGAGAAAGAGAGTGAGAAGTCTATTCTGACCATGTGTCTGTGGAATTTAAAAAAAAAAAAAAGTATATTGCTGCATGTTGTCTTGTGCTAAGAACACCACCCTTGCATATATACTTCTATATTGTGGTGATCTCTCACAATAAAATTAAATGAACACTGAAGGCTCACAGTAAAGAGTGGTAAGTGATAAAATAAGTGTTTGGAAGCTGTTTTATACCAGTAGTTCTATTCTCCCTGTTTCATAACACAAGAACAAGGGAATATTCGATTAAACAGAATGGTGGCAAATTCAAAACTAATAAAGGACATTCTTTTTCATATAATGCATAATCAGGAACGTGGAATTCATTTCTGCAGCATGGTAAGGCCAAGAATTTACCAAGATCCAAAGAGGGATTAGATATGTATTGAATAACAAGAATATCCAGAGTTATAATAGTGAATGTTTCCAAATCTTGGAAGAGAGAACTTCCTGTTTTTAGGCTTTAAGCCAATCTCTGTTAGGGATGAGATCTTTGTTTGGGACAAAGGGTGTAACACATTATCCCACATCTGCCAACTGTGGTTGTATCTTGTGCAGGATACTGGGCTGGGTGGACCATGAGTAAGGCTAAGATTTTTGTCAAGGTAAAGTCATGGATAGGTCATGGGCAATAAACAAAAATATACAGACCCCGTACCTATCGGTGATTTTGCTAAAAGTAACTGGGGGTAGGGCTAAATAGGGGGCAGGAATGGAGTCCCATGGGTTTGGGGGGAACTGACAAGCCAAGACCCCCGCCATGGCTGTGGACACAGCCCCAGCTCCAGCAGTGGGTGTGGCCACGGGGGGCGCAGCCACAGGGGGGCGCACAGCCCCGTGCTCCGGGGCTGTCCGCAGCTGCAGGACGGGGGTGTGCAGCCCCATGCTAAGCCCTGGCTGCTGCCAAGAGGGGGCGCACAGCCCTGGCTGCAGCCTCCACCGGAAGCTGCGGGGCTGGGGCACAGCAGGGAGAGCAGCCACAGGGCACACGGCCCCTGCTCTAGAGCTGGCCACAGCTGCGGGACAGGGGTGCACAGCCTGGCTGCAGTCTCTCCCCACCCCCTGAAAACCACAGGGCAGGGGCTGCAGAGTCCTGATTCCAGCCATCCAGCCCCAGTTGCAGCAGCGTGGGGGCACACAATCCTGCCGCCAGCCCCCACTTCAGCTGCTGACAGCTGAAGTGGAAGAGGTTCACTGAGGTTTGGTAAAGTCACGAAATCCATGACTGCCGTGATCTCTGTAACTAAATCATAGCCTTAACCGTGAATCTGATTCACTATGGTAATTCCTATGTTAAAGGTCAAATGTAGTTCACTTTAGTCATTGATATTCTAGCATACAGCAACTGGTTTGTCTACAATGGTGTACAGCAGATTGCAATTCTCTAAAAAACTAAATATTCAGTTTTGTTGCAGAAAACATTTTAAAATCTCTTGAATCCACTGAAGTTCTTCCATATGAAGGAAAAAATACAACATGAGTCAATTTTCTGTCCAGAAAATATTGACTTTGTCCTTAGAAAAAGCTAAGCATTTTTTCCTCGCCTTTATTTTCCTACAGAGTATTCTAGATCTACAAGTGCCTGAGGTATTGTGTGCAGTGAAAGGAAGAACTGGATACACTACAAATTGGAATTAGTGGGGCTGTGTAGCTTTCCTTTAAAAATAGAAAATAATTAGGTCCTGGTGTAAATCATGATTGATTTTTTAATATTAAATTTTTATAAGATTCATAATAGTGTAAAGGGTAAAGCATTGAATTTCACAGAGTTTTCATGGAATGAATTTTACAGGTTAATATACTCCCAGGACAGAATGAGTTTAGTAGACTAAATTTAGCTGTAAAATTCATTGTGTTGTGTAGTTGAGTTGTGTTGCATGCACGCAGCAGTCTACTCTTCCACAAAAATGTGCAAACAGCACTGTAAGCTAAGGTAATCTTTTGCATTAAAGACTTTTGTAGACATTTTTAAATAGTGTTGGGTTTTTGTTTTTTTTTAAGAGAAGATCACAGTTTGGGGGCATTTTCATGACTTCCATGCCGTCTCTGAAATCAAGATTTATACAAAGCTAGACGTGTA